GCCCCTGCCAACGGCTAGCCACGCCTTCGCCACTTTCATAAGCTCCGTATTTAATTAAATAATAGCCATTACACAGTATTGTTGGAGCGCTAGGGGGGGGGGGGGGGGGAAGGAACGCCACCCGTACCCTGCCTTTTCCAAGCCGACAATTTTAGGCGAGGCCGCAGGCTTTGCACGCTACTAGGCCTCGACACCCACCACGCCACTCTGAGGTAAATTCATCAAAGTTTTTCCTACTCTTCACTACACCCCCACCACAATGTGTGCTATTAATATTACTTTTAAACCCAACGCGCCAACAATCGATTACTTTAATGTTCACTGTACAAATACTCATTAAGCTGGGTGAGCGTACTGCCAGTCTATCATGTACACTGTAGCCTGCTTATTAAGCTCGGTGAGCGTACTGCCACTCTATCATGTACACTCTAGCCTGCTTATGAAGCTGAGTGCGTGTACTGGCAGTCTATAATGTGGACTCTTGCCTGGTTATTATAATCGATTCTTTATATGTTCTTTGTACAAACAGTCATTAAGCTGCTTGAGCGACCCCAGTTCGATTCCAACTCACGCCCACCACCGCTGACGATTATTTGAAACGGACCTGGCCCTCCCCTAGGTCCACTCAGCCTCAAAAGCGTAACTGCTGTCGTGTGTGAACATCGTCACTGGGGAGACAAAGGCGGCGGGGCATCGTGGATCCAAGTCCCGGGCGAAGCCGGGTCATGTGTATGTGTGTTTGTGTTTATGTGTATGTCTGTGTGTCTCTATGTATGTGTGTATGTATGTGTATGTATGTGTTTGTGTGTATGTGTGTGTGTATGTATGTGGGTTTTTTTTATGTCTTTATGTGTATGTCTGCGTGTCTCTATGTATGTGTGTATGTACGTGTGTGCATGTGTTTGTGTGTATGTATGTGTGTGTCTATGTATGTGTGTGTCTATGTATGTGTGTGTATGTGTGTGTATGTATGTGTGTTATGTGTCTGTCTGTGTCTGCATGTATGTGTGTGTGTATTGTGTATGTGTTTGTGTGCATGTATGTGTGTGTTTGTGTGTATGTGTATGTCTGTGTGTATGTGTTTGTGTGTATGTGTGTGTATTTATGTGTGTGTATGTGTTTGTATGTGTTTGTGTGTTTACGCTCGCATTACACAAATGTGTTGCTGGTCTAAGGCGTTCCTCGCACAGCATTGCCGCTTTATTATTTCAGTCGTTTACTGCCTTACGCACCCTGAAAGTCGTGTGTGTCTGCAGCAAGCGCGTGTATGTGTACCTATGGACGCGCGCGCGTGTGTTGTGTAGGGGGAACGGTAGTGTAGTGCTTAGCGTGCTGTCTGTGTCTGTGCGTGTGTGGTGTGTGGGGAGCGGTAGTGTAGTGCTTAGCGTGCTGTCTGTGTGTGTGTGTGTCTGTGTCTGCGTGTGTGTGGTGTGTGAGGAGCGGTGGGTGTAGTGCTTAACGCTACGCTGCGCTACCAACCCGGCGAACCGAGTTCGATTCCCGCTCACGGCCACCACCGGTGACGATTATTTGAACCTCCCCTAGGTCGACTCAGCCTCAAACGAGTAACTGGTGTGGCGTATTAACATCGGCACTTGGGAGACAAAGGCGGCCGGGCGTGGTGGATCCAAGTCCCGGGCGAAGCCGGGTAGTACAGCTAGTAATTTATTTAAAGTTGCGCATTTTGATCTGACGTCACATTTCTCAAACCCCCCCCTTCCTCGTCACAAATGTCTGACCCGCCCCGTAGGTGCGTGACGTCATTTATGGACGGTCCCTTAACAGCCCAAAACCCTCACCGATTGCACCAGAGAGACAGCTTGACCAGCGAACTGGCTATGAACTCTTTCGGGCTCATTGATGACATTCAGTTTAATTTAATTAATGGCTTAAACCACCAAACGTTCGGTCATCACAATTTTAAAGCTCTTTAATGACATTCACTGTCATTTGATGACATCGAGTATTGTTATTATCGACTTTGTTCAAGCAAAAACACGTCCCTGGGTGGGCTTGAACCACCAACCTTTCGGTTAACAGCCGAACGCGCTAACCAATTGCGCCACAGAGACAGCTGTAAGGGCTCCCAGGCTGTGCCGCCTATAAGACTCGCAGATGACATTGCTTGAATCAACTGGACATCAGCTGCACAGAGGCAACGCGAAACAAGTCGGTGGGGGTGGTTATCGAGTCGTATACTCTGTCGACTTAATCGGAGAAAAGCACTGGGAAATGGAAAACTCGGTTAGAATTCTGATGTTATTTAAAGATGTCACAGTGTGGAGTTATGACTTTCGTCGAAAAGTTTACTTTCTTTAAGACGTTTTCTCTATTTAAAGGTGCTGTTGGAGTACTTACTGGATAGTAAGTCTAACGCAATAATAAGTCATGTTAATTTATTTTATTATAAATTATAATTTTTGTCATGAATCATGTTATTTTGTTCATAGAAAGAGGCATACATTGATGACGATCAATTATGTTCTTTCTCTTTATCTTCACGTCAGGCTGTCTACTCTTGCCTTTGTCCCTCTTAGGCTGCCTCCACATCACCGTGTCTCTCTCTGTCTGTCTCCCTGTGTTTCCGTGTCTCTCTCAGTATGTCTCCCTGTGTCTCCACATCACCGTGTCTCTCTCTGTCTGTTTCCCTGTGTCTCCGTGCCCATCTCTCTCCGTCTCTCTAGCAGCCCATCTCCTCCTAACCCTCTCTGCATCTCTTTGACTCTCCTCGTACTCCCAGTGCCGGATGAAGCTAGTGCGTGGCTTGTAGCATATGTTATGAAGGGGCCGAAAATAAAAACACGTAAATATTAAAACACATTTTTTTAAATAATTGGTTCTTTACCCTTCTATCTGGCAACAAAACTGACACCTTTTTGCAAGGAGTCATGTTTGCATAGACCGCAATGCCTGCAGTCATAATACAAACAAAAGGCGCCTTTTGGCGTCATCTGGTCCAACCCATATGAGACTAGGCTCGAAGGAAAGCTGTCTCGGGTGTGGACCAATCAACTTCAAGGACAGTGCACATTATCAGAGTTATGTTCTTTTGTTTGTATTATGACTGCAGGCATTGCGGTCTATGCAAACATGACTCCTTGCAAAAAGTTGTCAGTTTTGTTGCCAGATAGAAGGGTAAAGAACCAATTATCATATTTTTACTGGCAAATGAGGTCCCCATAGTGTACATTTTTTTTACTTGCATAGGAAAGTAATTGTATTTTTTCATTTGCTACACAGCCAGATAATACGACAAATCGCTAACCTTAAACACCCAGTCGTTCAAAAAAGTCGAAGGCGGTATAGTACTATAGTAATAGAGCATATTCTTGATTCTTTCGGTAAAGCCACGTAGAAGAGAAATAATAAAATAATATTTTTTTTTACATCAATATTATTTTATTATTTCTCTTCTAATAATAAAAATAAAATAATAATAATTTTGTTGTTGTTTTATATTGATTTTATTTTATTATTTCCCTTCGACGTGACTTTACCGAAAGAACCAATAATATGAATCCCTGCAGTCACGAAAGCTTTAAATCGAAAAGTATTTCCGTGTTGCAGAAATACGATTTTCACTGTCACATTTGTTTCTGAATTCGTCATTTTTGTTGTTGTTGCATTTAATGATGAACAGCGGTATTGTCTCTTTTCGGCTGTCGTCACGTATGAATATAATTTTGGTGACCTGGATAATGGTACATACCACCTGCATTTCACTGGCTTGCTTAAATAAAACAATACAGCAAGTAGGTTTTGGACTTTTTCATGCTCACATAGCCTTTGGATTGCACCCGTTGGGTTGCACTCCCTCGTCGAGGAGGCCGCTCTCCTCCTATCTTACAGTTACATGCTAATTTCTCACGTTAACATCACTAGCCCCGGCCACTTCTTTATGACCCTTGGGCTACACCCATTTCAAACCTTTTAAAACAGTCTGCCTCAGCAGCAGACCGTGCTTTCCCACCTGATGACGGACGCTTGTGTTGCGCCCGAAACGTCGTGATTTATTTTATTTTATACCTACGTGACTTTACCGAAAGAACCAAAGAGTATTATTATCTTGTGTTCCCCTAATTAATTAGCATGGTTGAAGCATCAACAGTCTCGCGTTCTTGTGAGCACAGTCAAGCAACATCATCGGCTGTCTCTGTGGCGCAATTGGTTAGCGCGTTCGGCTGTTAACCGAAAGGTTGGTGGTTCAAGCCCACCCAGGGACGTGAGATTTTTTTTCGCTCACAAGAAGTGAACTTTTAATTTCTCGATTTGAATGGACGTGCATGCTGACAAATCTTCGTGGAATTAATTACATTTTTTTAAAGAACCATGCTCACCGCTGCCAGTATTGGGAACATTCCAATGGGAGCCAGTGAACGTGAATATTGCGGACATGGTAGGAAGTGGAATTTTCAACAAGGGGTGTGGTCGTGAACGACTAAAAAAATTGCAACTTCAAAGTCCTGCTGGAGCATCAATAGATGGAACCGTCATGTGTGCAAAATACGATGACCTCAGGAACATTACGTGTAACTGTGCAAATCGTATTTCTCCAGCACGTAAGACAAACAACTTAACTGCGTCCCAACAGCAATTGAATGTTGACTTCTCGAGTGCAAGATAATTTCACACTCGCATCCCTGGGTGGGCTTGAACCACCAACTTTTCGGTTAACAGAAACAGTTGCGAGAAGACTCAGGTTATTCCATCTTTAAGGCTCTTTCATGACATTCTCTAGCGACCTGGCGTCAGCCGCTCTTTCTTTTCTCTACGTCTGTCTCTCCTCGTCTGTCTCGCTGCGTAGTTCTCCACCTTTCACGGTCACCCGTTCTGCCCAGAACCGCTATTTTGAATCACCACCACTACAGCTCCTGCGCGCGCGACACGGCGTTCGCACGGTGCCAACCATCCCCCCCGACCCAATGTTCATGCCATCGCCACGGCTTGCACCCAAGGTCAGCGTCTCCCCCCCCCTTTCTTCTGTCTCCGGTGCCGCACAGCTGGAGGCGGAGGACGTGGGACGGCTGGTGAAGCTGCGCGTGGGTCACGACGACAAGGGCCTCTCCTCCGCGTGGTTTCTCGACTCCGTCACCGTGCGACGCTTCCGCGGCAAGCGCGACCTCGCCGCCGCCGCCGCGGGCGGCACCCGGACGAACGGGGAGGCCGGCGCCGGCCGACGGGACGGGAGCCGTCGCGGGAGCCTCGCCGGGGTGGCCGCACCGATGGCGTCGCTGTCGGGCAAGGGGCCGGGTGGAGAGGCGGCGGGCGCGGCGGACGGGGACGTGGAGACGTACACGTTCGCGTGCCGCCGCTGGCTCGCTCGCAACGAGGACGACGGGCAGGTGGTGCGCGAGCTGCTTCCCCAGGAGGGCAGCAACCTGAAAGGTGGGAGGGGAGAGCTGCTTGGCTCTGGCCGCACGCGTGCGTGGAGGGCAGGGACACATTTATGGTCACTTGGCACCACCCAGGGAGACCCACCCAGGGGGACCCACCCAGAGGGACCCACCTAGGGGAGAACAGAAAATACCACTCCCCTATCCGCCCGCCCACGCCTCTCCTCCCACTCTTGATGTACAATCAAACTTACGAACTTTCAGAGATTCGAACAAACCCGTCCGTGTGTTCAGTTGCCTGTTCGGACCGAGACTCGTAAGTGCAAGCACCGCGCAATAGATGGCGGTGGTGGCATCTACATCTATAGAACGTGAAGAACCAGTGGCATCTACACAGGAGATTTTACAACTTTTAAAGCCATTCCCCGTGTTTAGTGTACATGCCGTACAACATGTTTGGAATCGACATGAGTAAAGTTGACTTTCGAACAGGCTTCAGGAACCTAACTCGTTCGTAAGTAGAGGAGTCCCTGTATTTTTTCTGTATATCGACAAAGATTTCCCCTATAGCTTTTAAGAGGCTTTTTGGACAAGTTCTGTTCGCGAGTTGCACATATGAAGGCCGGCACGGCACGCGAGGAGGTGGGTGGCCAGCACCACGCCCGGCCGCCTTTGTATCTCCAGTGGGGTGGATTAAACACCGCAAGGTACTCATTTGAGGCTGAGTCGACCTAGGGAAGGCCCAGGACCGGTTCAGATAATTTTCACTGGTGTTGGCCGTGAGCGGGAATCGAATTCGGGTTGCCGGGTTTGTAGCGGAGCGCGCTAACCACTACACATACCCAATATGTGACATCATTATTTAAAAATATATATATTTTAAAGGTAGGATCGGGCGACACGTGGGCATTGGACAAAGTGCCATTTGCTTCACCCCCCGGTATTAAATCCAGCCCTGGCGTAGGGTGAAGGAGAAATTGCACTCCAACTAAGAATTCATTCTTGAGGGATGCTTTCTAATTACAGCGCCGATCAGCGAGATAGATGGTCACAATGAATCATGTAGCAGCCGTGATGAATCTATTGCTAGATGAAGGCCTTTCCAAATCATTGCCAGTGGTGCTACGGTGTAAAAATCCACTCTATTTCATCGCTTCATTTCCACGGTGGATTTTCTGTCGGACGCATTCCATTCCTTGGCTACCATTCTGTAAATCGGTGTCACTGGATCCAAATTATGAACATTCCCAAATGCAGGTCTCTTCGAAATTATTCAAACATTCAATGCCAGAGGATTATTTACTGCACTGTTATGCTTTTTTTAACGTCATACAATGTTAAACATGTGTTTTTACATAAAGGGCCCAATAAAATGGCTTTGGTGCTCAAGTACACAGTGGGCAGCAGGCCAGATTAGGGCAGCAGTTATAGTCGAAACCGTTTAAACACCATGGCAACCGCTTGCTTAATTGAACATTTTCCATCTTCGCATTTGCTTCATGTCTTAATGGCATTTATTAAACATTTTTTTAGAACCCCTTTTCCCTAAATTATTGATGCGATCGTGCCGTTTCATTTTAATAATTGAGGCGGACGTTGCTCCCAGGCGGATTGGTCGGGGAGTGCCATCTGTCACGTGCGATGTTTCCGTCTGCGCTGACCGGGGGGAGATGACGGGGAAAGCGACCCTCGTTGTTGGGTGCAGCGCTGCCACTTAGCAAGCTCGGGGAGCTGTTGCTTTAAGCAAAGCAGCTGGCAAAGGCAAAGCGTCTGTCTCTCGTGGCGCTATGGGTTTGGGTGTCTGGGCGTTAACCGAAAGTGTTGCTGCTTCATGCCCACCCGGGGTAGTACGTGTGCGTTTTTTTTCTGTTGCAAACAAAAAGTCAATATTGAATTGGTCAGTGAACGTTGCTTTTTGAGTCGCGCGGGGGTTTTGAACACAGGGTTTGGTAACAGGCGACTATAATCCAGACGTGTGAATGAGTCGGTGGAACCTTTTTTAGATGGTAGAGATAACAACTTTCTTGGGAAAGGCCAAATGAAACAATAGAGCAAGTAGGTTGTTAAACCAAATATTGCATAACATATTCGAATGTTCCTCCATTGAAATACAATGGCAGGTCAACAGTTGTGTCGCGATGTGCAATGCTTTGCCAGTCCACCACCGGATGAAGGCTTCCCCAGCCACAGAACCCCTGACGTATTTGGTTGATGTATCCTGGCCTGCCTGGACATCAGAGAGCTGTCTTTGCGACGCAATCGGTTGCCCACCAGAAGTCGACGCTAGATTGCATCTTATTAACGGGGCATTAAACACAAGACCGCCACAGAATGCTTGCAGCTGTACTGTGGTGAAGATGGTTTAGTGTGTTTGGTTGTTAACACACCCACACAGGGATGCGAGTGTTTTTTTCTTCATTAAATACAATTATAGTGGTTGATATTTCGATTTAAAGCTTTCGTGAATGCAGGGATTCATCTTATTGGTTCTTTCGGTAAAGTCACGTAGAAGGAAAATAATAAAGTAATAAAAATAATAAAAATAAACATAATAAAATAATATAATAAAATATTATTTTATTATATTATTTTATTTTTATTACTTTATTATTTCTCTTCTACGTGACTTTACCGAAAGAACCAAAAAGATGGTTGATATTGTCTAGTACGACCGCATTGTCTTCAGCAGGATTCTTCAACTGGCGGCCAGTGGGCCACATGTGGCCTGGGAAGGCCCAAGGGAGTGGCCCATTGAGCTGTGGAACCGCCAAGACATATCTGGCGCCGAGTATTAAACAAACACAGATTGGTGACGTGAAAGTGAGACGAACAGAATCGACGAGGAGAGAGCCCTCTTCTTGGTTCTTTCGGTAAAGTCACGTAGAATGGAAATAGTAAAAATAGACGCTGTCTTTCTGACAGACCTGTTCTTCACCTGAGGACGGCTGCTTGCGTTGTGGCCGAAACGTCGTGAGAATTATTTTATTATGTTTTGTTATTATTATGTTATTATTTCCATTCTACGTGACTTTACCGAAAGAACCAAGAAGATGAATCCCTGCAGTCACGAAAGCTTTAAATCGAGGAGAGAGCCGTTGACAAGCTGCATTATGGTGTCACATGACCATGAAGCACATGCCAGTCACATTGGTGGGCTGCCTGGAAATACGGCTGAGGAACCCCAGACTACAAAGGATCGCCGACGATGACATGCAGCCCTTCCCCACTCTCGCTTATGCACCCCCACTCCTGCCGTCGTTTCTCCGGCTCGCCCCCCAGAATGCACGTACAGCGTGCACGTGTTCACGGGCGATGTGCGTGGCGCCGGCAGCAACGCCAACGTCTTCATCACCGTCTACGGCACCGCGGGCGACTCCGGCGAGCGGCAATTGCGCGATTCCGAGAAGCACCGCAACAAGTTCGAGCGCGCAAACGTGAGACCCCCCCGCCAAAAATGCACGCACGGTGGATTTGCCGGTGGTGGAGGTGGCGTTTGGTGGTGATTGTGGTGCTAATGGTAGTGGTGGTAGTGAGTGGGTGGGGCTACCTGAGTAGTGGGTGGAGCTAACTGGGTAGTGGGTGGAGCTACCTGAGTAGTGGGTGAAGCTACCTGAGTAGTGGGTGGGGCTACCTGAGTAGTGGGTGGAGCTACCTGAGTAGTGGGTGGGGCTACCTGAGTAGTGGGTGGGGCTACCTGAGTAGTGGGTGGACCTACCTGAGTAGTGGGTGGAGCTACCTGAGTAGTGGGTGTAGTTGACAGAGGAGTAGAATCTTGATTTGAAGCTTTCGTGACTGCAGAAATCCTAACTCTTTGGTTCTAAAATAGTGACGTAGGTATCAAATATACCTACTTGACTTTACCGAAAGAACCAAAGAGTACAGAGGAGTTGAAGTCGTTGCGACCAACAGCGCAGACCGAAGAGGCCACTCACTGTGTGGGTGAGGCTCGTGGTTGAGTGAGCTGTGGCTTTGAGGACCGTGTGTTCTGGTTGAGCTTCTTCAGGAACTCGCTCCCAGCCCATGGAGTGAAACACGAACATCCTGAAAACACATCGGAGAGCTATACAGCACAAACGCTATGATATGAACATGTATTTACGTTGAACTTCTTTCGCACCGTACACAGCCAACCGTGCTAATCGGATGCGTGTAAATGTTGGGTGTTTATCTTCTTGGTTCTTTCGGTAAAGTCACGTAGAAGGGAAGTAATAAAATAATAAAAATAAAACATAATAAAATAATTCTCACGACGTTTCGGCCACAAAGCAAGCAGCCATCATCAGGACGGCTGCTTGCTTGGTTCTTTCGGTAAATTACTTCCCTTCTACTTTACTTTACCGAAAGAACCAAGAAGATGAATCCCTGCAGTCACGAAAGCTTTAAATCCGATTAGCACGGTTGATTACGTACGGTGCAAAAGAAACTTAACATATATACGACATTACAGAACAAATGTGATGACAACAGAAAAGAAAAGAGTCAGCTCCTAAAACGTGTGTGGCGGATATCCACGTCGCCAATGGCCTCCCGGCTGCCACTGTGTCATCGTTCTGCGGCCGCTGCAGGAGGACGTCTTCACGGTCGCGGCCGTGGACCTGGGCGAGCTGAAGAAGGTGCGGCTGCGACACGACAACAGCGGCGTTAGCGCCGGCTGGTTCCTCGACCGCGTGGAGGTCACGGAGCAGACGTCCCAGCGCAAGTGAGGGCACCTGCGCCGGCGCAAGGGTCGGAGTGTGCAGGCGGGTGGACGCGCAAGGGTGTCTGTCGGAAGGGTTGTACACGTGATAAGCCACTACGTCGAGCTATTGTTTGTGGGCCAGCTCACTTGTGAAAAAAAACGACGTAGCTCAGTGGGCCTTAACTGGTAAAATAACAAAATTGTTTTAGTTGATTTTGTGTCGTGCACGGCCCCACCATGTTATTGTCGCCTGCGGACACCACACTAGGTACGGGTTCCCATTGTCTTCACCTGTGCTCACCGCGCCAGGTACGTGTTCCCATTGTCTTCACCTGTGCCCACCTCGCCAGGTATGTGTTCCCATTGTCATCACCTGTGCTCACCGCGCCAGGTACGTGTTCCCATTGTCTTCGCCTGTGCACACCGCGCCAGGTACGTGTTCCCATTGTCTTCGCCTGTGCACACCACGCCAGGTACGTGTTCCCATTGTCATCACCTGTGCTCACCGCGCCAGGTACGTGTTCCCATTGTCTTCACCTGTGCACACCGCGCCAGGTACGTGTTTCCATTGTCATCACCTGTGCACACCGCGCCAGGTACGTGTTCCCATTGTCTTCACCTGTGCACACCGCGCCAGGTACGTGTTCCCATTGTCTTCACCTGTGCCCACCGCGCCAGGTACGTGTTCCCATTGTCTTCACCTGTGCCCACCGCGCCAGGTACGTGTTCCCATTGTCTTCACCTGTGCCCACCACACCAGGTACGTGTTCCCATTGTCTTCACCTGTGCACACCACGCCAGGTACGTGTTCCCATTGTCATCACCTGTGCACACCACACCAGGTACGTGTTCCCATTGTCTTCACCTGTGCACACCACGCCAGGTACGTGTTCCCATTGTCTTCACCTGTGCCCACCTCGCCAGGTACGTGTTCCCATTGTCTTCACCTGTGCACACCACGCCAGGTACGTGTTCCCATTGTCTTCACCTGTGCCCACCTCGCCAGGTACGTGTTCCCATTGTCTTCACCTGTGCCCACCTCGCCAGGTACGTGTTCCCATTGTCTTCACCTGTGCACACCACGCCAGGTACGTGTTCCCATTGTCATCACCTGTGCACACCACGCCAGGTACGTGTTCCCATTGTCATCACCTGTGCCCACCGCGCCAGGTACGTGTTCCCATTGTCTTCACCTGTGCCCACTACGTCAGGTACGTGTTCCCATTGTCATCACCTGTGCTCACCACGCCAGGTACGTGTTCCCATTGTCATCACCTGTGCACACCGCGCCAGGTACGTGTTCCCATTGTCATCACCTGTGCTCACCGCGCCAGGTACGTGTTCCCATTGTCATCACCTGTGCCCACCGCGCCAGGTACGTGTTCCCATTGTCTTCACCTGTGCCCACTACGTCAGGTATGTGTTCCCATTGTCATCACCTGTGCTCACCACGCCAGGTACGTGTTCCCATTGTCGTCACCTGTGCTCACCACGTCAGGTACGTGTTCCCATTGTCATGACCTGTGCCCACCGCGCCAGGTACGTGTTCCCATTGTCTTCACCTGTGCACACCGCGCCAGGTACGTGTTCCCATTGTCTTCACCTGTGCCCACTACGTCAGGTACGTGTTCCCATTGTCATCACCTGTGCTCACCGCACCAGGTACGTGTTCCCATTGTCATCACCTGTGCTCAGCGCACCAGGTACGTGTTCCCATTGTCATCACCTGTGCCCACCGCGCCAGGTACGTGTTCCCATTGTCATCACCTGTGCTCACCACGTCAGGTACGTGTTCCCATTGTCATCACCTGTGCTCACCACGTCAGGTACGTGTTCCCGTGCGGGCGCTGGCTGGCCGTGGACGAGGACGACGGGCAGGTGGCGCGCGAGCTCGTGGCGCAGGACCCCGCCCGGGCGAAGGCCCCGGCACTCGGCTCGGCAAAGCGGCCCAAGTCCAGCGCCAGCCTCAGCTTGGAGCAGAAAGGCAGGGGCGGGGGGGCAGGGGCGGGGGGGGGGGCAGGGGCGGGGGGGCAGGGGCGGGGGGGCGGCACGTGGGCAACATTCACCAGGCCCTTAGGGCTCTATCCACCTGGCACTCGGCACCACGAACTATGAAACTCACACTCGCCACGCTGGGAGTCGTGGGTGGTGTTCGTGTCTTGATGGGAAGTTGTGAAACGGTGTTAGTGTGGTGATGGTGAGGCACGTGCTGTATTATTGTGGTGATGGTGAGGCGTGTGTGGTGTTAGTATGGTAATGGTGAGTCGTGCATGCTGTTAGTGTGGTGATGGTGAGGTGAGTCGTATGTGGTGTTAGTGTGGTGATGGTGAGACGTGTGTGATGTTAATGTGGTGATGGTGAGACACGTGTGGTGTTAGTGTGGTGATGATGAGACACGTGTGGTGTTAGTGTGGTGATGATGAGACACGTGTGGTGTTAATGTGGTGATGGTGAGACACGTGTGGTGTTAATGTGGTGATGGTGAGGCGTGTGTGGTGTTAGGGTGGTGATGATGAGACACGTGTGGTGTTAGTGTGGTGATGGTGAGACACGTGTGGTGTTAATGTGGTGATGATGAGACACGTGTGGTGTTAGTGTGGTGATGATGAGACACGTGTGGTGTTAATGTGGTGATGGTGAGACACGTGTGGTGTTAATGTGGTGATGGTGAGGCGTGTGTGGTGTTAGTGTGGTGATGGTGAGACACGTGTGGTGTTAGTGTGGTGATGGTGAGACACGTGTGGTGTTAATGTGGTAATGGTGAGACACTTGTGATGTTAATGTGGTGATGGTGAGACACGTGTGGTGTTAGTGTGGTGATGGTGAGACACTTGTGATGTTAATGTGGTGATGGTGAGACACGTGTGGTGTTAATGTGGTGATGGTGAGACACGTGTGGTGTTAATGTGCACGTCGCCCCTGCAGCTCAGCTCACGACGTACAACATCAAGGTGAAGACGGGAGACAAGCGTGGGTCGGGCACGGACGCCAATGTCTTCATGGTGCTGTACGGAGAGAAGGATGACACCGGTAGATAGGCAACTTGCCGCTTGATTGTCGGTTGCTTCCACATCATCATGTTTTTTTTGTTCTGGTTCTCAACCTATTCAGCATCGTCACATTATGATAATTATAGACATCATCGTGAGATCATCTGCATCATCATTGACTTTTAAATCGGCATTGCCGTATCACTGTCATTGTTATCATCACCAGCATCTGCATCAGCAATTATCAGTATCGGCGAGAGAAGCATCCTCGTAATCATTATCAGCAGCAGCAGCATTATTCGCAAACATCATCACGTGCAAGAGAAAGATCAGTATCAGGAAGAGTAGCATCATAAGCAACAGCAGCATGATCAGCTTCATCACCATCATTGTCGTTGCCACGGTTTGATGATCTGTGTTTGTTGCCACAGGCAAGGTAAACCTGAAGTCATCCAAAACCAACAAAAATAAGTTTGAGAAGGGCCAGATTGATGAGTTTACCCTGGAAGCTGTCGACATCGGAGCCCTGAAGAAGATTAAGATCGGACACGACAATGCAGGTGCTCCCCCTTCTAGGAGAAATGAATGAATGAAATGAATACTGTAATACATTTGTGCGAGTGTTTTTTTTTGCTGGCAAGAAGTCAATACTAAATTACATCTTATTACAGTGAATGAAATTGACAAGTCTTGAAGATGCGCCACAGATGCAGCTGTCTCTGTGGAGCAATCGGTTAGCGCGTTCGTCTGTTAATTAAAAGGTTGGTGGTTAAAGCCCACCCAGGAACGATGGTTGTGAGTGTATTTTGCTTGCAGAAAGTATATACTAGATTTGTTTTAAAGACAGCGAATGTCATGAATTCCTCAAACATGGAACAGCAAGTGGCTGCTTGCAGCGGGTGCTGTGGTACAATTGGTGAGTGTGTTTGGATATTAACTGAAAGTTTGATGGTTCTAGCCCACCAATGGACGATTTTTGTGATGAGATTTTGCTTGAACAAGTAAATTTTAGATTATTTTTTATGGCAGTAAATGTCATTAAAGAGCCCAAAAAATAGATCAGCCAGAGGTTGTCAGCAACTCTATGGCGCAATTGGGTAGTGCTTTCGGCTGTTAATTGAGAGGTTGGTAGTTAAATCACGCCCATGGACAAGAGTGTGTGAGTATATTTTGATTACACATTAATATTGGATTAGTTTTTACAACTGCCAATGTCATTAATTCCTCAAACATGGAACAGCAGAGGGCTTCGTGCAGATGTCTCTGTGGTGCAAGTGGTTTGTGCGTTTGGGTGTTACCTAAAAGTTTGGTGGTTCAAACCCACCCAGTGCCGATATTTGTGAGAATTTTTTATTGCACAATGTCATTAACTCTTTAAACATGGAACAGCAAGTGGCTTTTTTTAGCTCTTTCTGTGGTGCAATTGGTTAGCGTGTTCAGCTGTTAACCGAAAGGTTGGTGGATCAAGCCCACCCAGGGACGAGGTTTTTTTTGCTTGGAGAAAGTCCATTTGAGATTTGTTTGAACGACAGCCAATATCATTAATACCTTCAACATGGCACGGCAAGTGGCTTCTTCCAGCTGTCTCTGGCGCATTTGGCCAGCGTGTTCTGCTGTGAAGTATAAAGGTTGGTGGTTCAAGCCCACCCAGAGACGCTGTTTAAAAGTGTATTTTTATTTCACAAAGTTAATACTAGATTCGTTCTTAAGACAGCGAATGTCATTAATTTCTTGAACATGGAACAGCAAGCAATTCCTTGCAGCTGTCTCTGTGGTGCAATTGGTTAGCGTGTTTGGCTGTTAACCGAAAGGTTGATGGTTCAAGCCCACCCAGGGACGAACTTTCGGAGAATTTTTTGCTGGCGAGATTCGATTCGATTTTACGACAGCGAATGTCATTAATTCCTTCAACATGGAACAGCAAGTTACGCCTTGCAGCTGTCTCTGTGGCGCAATTGGTTAGCGCGTTCGGCTGTTAACCGAAAGGTAGGTGGTTCAAGCCCACCCAGGGACGAACTTTCGGAGTTTTTTTTTCTTGCTAGATTCGATTCTATTTTACGACAGCGAATGTCATTTATTCCTTCAACATGGAACAGCAAGTTACTCATTGCAGCTGTCTCTGTGGCACAATTGGTTAGCGCGTTCGGCTGTTAACTGAAAGGTTGGTGGTTCAAACCCACCCAGGGACGAAATTTCGGAGATTTTTTGCTTCCTAGATTCCATTCGATTTTACCACAGCGAATGTCATTAATTCCTTAAACATGGAACAGCAAGTTGCTCCTTGTAGCTGTCTCTGTGGCGCAATTGGTTAGCGCGTTTGGCTGTTAACCGAAAGGTTGGTGGTTCAAGCCCACCCAGGGACGAGGTTTTGGACAGTCTTTTGCTTGCTAGATTCGATTCGATTTTACAACAGCGAATGTCATTCATTCCTTAAAAATGGAACAGCAAGTGGTTCCTTGCAGCTGTCTCTGTGGCACAATTGGTTAGTGCATTCGGCTGTTAACCGTAAGGTTGGTGGTTCAAGACCACCCAGGGATGAACTTTCAGAGAGTTTTTTGCTTGCTAGATTAGATTCGATTTTACGACAGCGAATGTCATTCATTCCTCAAACATGGAACAGCAAGTTGCTCCTTGCAGCCGTCTCTGTGGCGCAATTGGTTAGCGCGTTCGGCTGTTAACCGAAAGGTTGGTGGTTCAAGCCCACCCAGGGACGAACGTTCAGAAAATGTTTTGCTTGCTAGATTCCATTCGATTTTACGACAGCGAATGTCATTCATTCCTTAAAAATGGAACAGCAAGCTGCTCCGTGCAGCTGTCTCTGTGGCGCAATTGGTTAGCGTGTTCGGCTGTTAACCGAAAGGTTGGTGGTTCAAGCCCACCCAGGGACGAACGTTCGGATAATGTTTTGCTTGCTAAATTCCATTCGATTTTACGACAGCGAATGTCATTCATTCCTCAAACATGGAACAGCAAGTTGCTCCTTGCAGCTGTCTCTGTGGCGCAATTGGTTAGCGCGTTTGGCTGTTAACTGAAAGGTTGGTGGTTCAAGCCCACCCAGGGACGAACGTTCGGATAGTTTTATGCTTGCTAGATTCGATTCGATTTTACGACAGCGAATGTCATTCATTCCTTAAAAATGGAACAGCAAGTTGCTCCGTGCAGCTGTCTCTGTGGCGCAATTGGTTAGCGCGTTCGGCTGTTAACCGCAAAGGTTGGTGGTTCAAGCCCACCCAGGGACGAACTTTCGGAGAAATTTTTGCTGGCTAGATTAGATTCGATTTTACGACAGCGAATGTCATTCATTCCTTAAAAATGGAACAGCAAGTTACTCTTTGCAGCTGTCTCTCTGGCGCAATTGGTTAGCGTGTTCGGCTGTTAACCGAAAGGTAGGTGGTTCAAGCCCACCCAGGGGCGAACTTTCGGAGAGTTTTTTGCTGGCTAGATTCGATTCTATTTTACGACAGCGAATGTCATTTATTCCTTCAACATGGAACAGCAAGTTACTCATTGCAGCTGTCTCTGTGGCACAATTGGTTAGCGCGTTCGGCTGTTAACTGAAAGGTTGGTGTTTCAAGCCCACCCAGGGACGAAATTTCGCAGAGTTTTTTGCGTGCAGAAAGTCTCTTCAAGATCTGTTTTTTAAGACAGCGAATGTCAACACGTTCCTTCGGAGGGGGCAGGTAGCAACTTGGTTGGACAGCGCATTCGTGCACGGCGTGTCACGTGGTGCTGAGCCCGCCCGAAGTGCTCTAAGAAATACAAATTGAGGGCGTGGCTATGCACGACAGACAGACAGAAAAATAATCCCTGGTGGGCAGTGTGGAACTGTTGTGCCTACCTGTATTAATTCCTTAAACATGGAACAGCAAGCGGCGTCGTTGAGTTGTCTCTCTGGTGCAATTGGTTAACGCGTTCAGCTTTTAACCACCCAGAGCTGCTGTTTGAAAGTGTATTTTATTTCACAAAGTAAATCCTAGATTCGTTTCTACGACAGCGAATGTCATTAATTCCTTCAACATGGAACACCAAGTGCCTCGTTGCATCTGTCTCTGTGGCGCAATTGGTTAGCGCGTTCGGCTGTTAACCGAAAGGTTGGTGGTTCAAGCCCACCCAGGGACGAACGTTCGGATAATGTTTTGCTTGCTAAATTCCATTCGATTTTACGACAGCGAATGTCATTCATTCCTCAAACATGGAACAGCAAGTTGCTCCTTGTAGCTGTCTCTGTGGCGCAATTGGTTAGCGCGTTCGGCTGTTAACCGAAAGGTTGGTGGTTCAAGCCCACCCAGGGACGAGGTTTTGGACAGTCTTTTGCTTGCTAGATTCGATTCGATTTTACAACAGCGAATGTCATTCATTCCTTAAAAATGGAACAGCAAGTGGTCCCTTGCAGCTGTCTCTGTGGCACAATTGGTTAGCGCGTTCGGCTGTTATCCGAAAAGTTGGTGGTTCAAGCCTACCCAGGGACGAACTTTCTTAGAATTTTTTGCTTGCTAGATTCCATTCGATTTTACGACAGCGAATGTCATTCATTCCTTAAAAATGGAACAGCAAGTTGCTCCGTGCAGCTGTCTCTGTGGCGCAATTGGTTAGCGCGTTCGGCTGTTAACCGAAAGGTTGGTGGTTCAAGCCCACCCAGGGACGAACGTTCAGAAAATGTTTTGCTTGCTAGATTCTATTCGATTTTACGACAGCGAATGTCATTCATTCCTCAAACATGGAACAGCAAGTTGCTCCTTGCAGCTGTCTCTGTGGCGCAATTGGTTAGCGCGTTCGGCTGTTAACCGAAAGGTTGGTGGTTCAAGCCCACCCAGGGACGAGGTTTTGGACAGTCTTTTGCTTGCTAGATTCGATTCGATTTTACAACAGCGAATGTCATTCATTCCTTAAAAATGGAACAGCAAGTGGTCCCTTGCAGCTGTCTCTGTGGCACAATTGGTTAGCGCATTTGGCTGTTAACCGTAAGGTTGGTGGTTCAAGCCCACCCAGGGATGAACTTTCAGATAGTTTTATGCTTGCTAGATTCGATTCGGTTTTACGACAGTGAATGTCATTCATTCCTTAAAAATGGAACAGCAAGTTGCTTTGTGCAGCTGTCTCTGTGGCGCAATTGGTTAGCGTGTTCGGCTGTTAACCGAAAGGTTGGTGGTTCAAGCCCACCCAGGGACGAACGTTCGGATAATGTTTTGCTTGCTAAATTCCATTCGATTTTACGACAGCGAATGTCATTCATTCCTCAAACATGGAACAGCAAGTTGCGCCTTGTAGCTGTCTCTGTGGCGCAATTGGTTAGCGCGTTCGGCTGTTAACCGAAAGGTTGGTGGTTCAAGCCCACCCAGGGACGAACATTTGGAGAATATTATGCTTGCTCGATTTGATTCGATTTTACGACAGCGAATGTCATTCATTCCTTAAAAATGGAACAAGTTACTTCTTGCAGTTGTCTCTGGCGTATTTGGCCAGTGTGTTCTGTTGTGAAGTGTAAAGGTTGGTGGTTCAAACCCACTCAGAGATGCTATTTGAAAGTTTATTTTTATAAGTCAATACTAGATTCGTTTTT